GTTATTGATTAAGGGTATTTTTTTTATCATAAATGTATATAAAAAATATAAAAATTATATTAATTTTAGTGTTGGTATTAAATAAATGAATTGAACAGTTGAAAAATTAAAGATTAACTTTAATTTTTTTAACACAAATTTATTATTAAAAAATGCATTTATTGCATTCTTAACTTATACTCTTAGGACATAATTTGGATAAATCCATGAATAAAAAGAGTCAATTATTTAAATGATATATAAAATTATACAAAAAAAATGTTACAAAAAGATTATTTCTATTTTTTTTTTTCATCCACGTGGACAAACCAAATGCCAAATCCCTGGCACATAGGCATGACAAGGCCATATTTCGCCACACGAGGCAATCCCCAAACGGTAGTTAAGGGCAATTAGGTTGGTTGTGAGAGTAAAGGCTAAATTGCTTTGATTGTAGAGTTTAGGAGCTTATATGCATCAATTAAAGTTTGGGGCTTAATAGCAATTTTGGGGTTAGTTCAAAGGCTTAACTTATGGTTTTGCCTATATATATAATGGTATATATTCACTTTAACTTTTTAAAATTATAAAAAAAAATTATCTTAAAATTATATTATTTTAATAAATTTTTATTCAAAAAAAATTAAATGATCTTATTTTTAAAAATATGAATTAAAATGTTTTTGGTTTTTTTATTGTATTTTATTGAAATAACATAATTTTAAGATAATTTTTTTTCTTTATATTTAGGAGATAAAGAATATGAGTACTAATTTCAAATATATATATATATATAAGTGAAAATCTATTTACACTTAATTGACATAAGTTTTACACATTATAATTATATAAAATTTTAATTATTTTTTTATTTTTAATAATTAAGATTTATTTATATTTATTAAATATAATTATCTGGACAAAAAGGCAGCAGAAAAATTCATAAATTAATAGAGTTCTTTGATTCAATTTAACTACGTTCGTAATGTTGGCGCACCTTATAACCATATGTATTGAATTGTGGACGAGAAGGCTTGAAGACCATCCAAGAGAGAAGGTTGACAAAGGGGCTTAATTTGAGAAATTGCCTGTAATAATTACTGCTAGTTTTTGTTTTAGTCTAAAATCTTTATTTATTTATTTTTATTTTTGTAAAGTTGTCTATTAACTTATAAAATTATATGTAGTTCATCTACTTAACAAAATTCTGTTAGTTAGATTGATAAAAATCTATGTCATTACTTACGTGGCATTCCTTAAGCTGCCACATTACGCAACCACATAAACAACACTTGGTTTGGAAATAGAGGAAAAATTCCTACTTTTTTATTTTCCTAATTTAATTAACAATAAATAACTAAATTATAATATAATTTAATATAAATGAAACCTTATTAAAATAACGAGAATAATATTATTTTGGTCACATGTGCAGCTCCACCTTAAGTGATTATGTGAACTTTTATCAATTTTATTAACAAAATTGTATTATATAAAGAAAATTGATATAATTTTAGAAATTAATAGATAGTTTTTCAGAAAAAAAAAGATTTTACACTAAAATAAAAAAGATTAATAGTTGATAAATGATTTATTAAATTAAGTTTTGACGTAGGTATTACAAATTCTTGGTTGAAGAAGTTGTATCAATTGATTTATAAGTTTAAAACGATACTCTGCAGTAGGTTTTTTAATGGACTCTATGATTCTCCTTACTGTTTGTTTACATCTAATTTTGCAATAAATAGAATGGTGCAACGAGTTATCCATGTTGACAAAATTTTTGTTTGTTGAAAAGTTGTTGATGTAGATCTCTCTTAAAAATAAGGTTCATTGATTTTATTAAGAAAGTTGTTCGCTTGTTGCAAATTTCCAAGAACATAATCAGTAACACCAACAAATTAATTAGTTTGTTGCAGATTTCACGTTGTTATTGGTTTTCAAGATACTACCGTAAATCTCCAACATGCTGCAAAGGGGGGTTTATTGTTATAATTTATTGTTATAAATACGCAGAAAAGAAACCAAGCAAGATAAATATGCCTCTCACACAATAAACTCAGTACAATTTCTTTTAATGCTCAAATTCATTTTATTTTCAAATCCAATCGTCTAATTTTTAAGGTGCAATTTACGATATTTTTCCATCAATTCACAACTGAATTCCATACTTGGAAAGAAAAGAAAGTCATTGGAGACTTTTTTCGAATATTGAGTAAAGCAAATGGTACGCTGTTTTACCAGTCACGTGCCAAAGAGACTTTTTGGGATAACACTTTTTTATATATATATACTTGCCCTAGAAGAGTACGAATAGTTAAAAATATGAGTTTTGTATTTGAAATTTTAAATTCAAATTTTAAAATGCATAGAAAAGGAATTGAGAACAAAATAGTTATTTTTTATTATATAATTTATTATCTGATATATATATATATAAAAAAAATTTACACTTACATTGATCTAAAATTTTTTCCTATTTATTATGGAGCGAAATGCTTGTTAAGTTTAATGTGTTACCTTCG